GAACCGCTCGAAAACCGCCGTAATCGGAGTGAACCTCCGGCGTTTCCTCGATGGAAACCGACGGAAGCTAGAAGAACCGGCGGAGAAGCGGTGAAGGATCCGATTAGAGAACGAAATTCCGAAATACGAAGAAGTGGAAGAAGAGATCGAAGAAGCGGAGAGAGAAGCAACAGGGAAAGAATCGAAACGGTGAGCAGAGGAAGAGAAGAGGCAGCGAGAGTGAAGCGTGAGAGGAGAAGAAGAAGATAAAACCTCCATTGTTGGTGGCTCTGAGGAGAGAAACGGAGAAAATCTCCGGCGATGAATTCCGATTTCACAGAAAGGGAAGAAAATAACAAAAATAATGGAAAGGAAGAGGAAAGAAGAAGAAAAGAAGGAGAAGCAAAGGATGGAGTAAGACGACACGTCAAGGCACCGATCTATTTTTCTTTTTCTTTTTCTTTTGCAATATAAATAGAAACTCTCAACGAGAAAAAATAAAAGAAAATTGATTTAAAGAAAAAAAAATGCATTCCGACTCTGGGGGGCTGTTTGGCTCCAAAGAAGCAACGTTTGCGTTTGCGTTTGCGTTTGCGTTTGCGTACGAAACACAAAACAAGATATTTATGCCCAACTAAAATCATGACATAAAAGAATACAAAAAAAGTACAAATAAATAAATGTTAACAAAGAATAAAACTCAAGTCTAAAATATTATTTGTCTAGAATTTTGTAAATGAGAAGAAATATTTAGATAATAAGTAAAAGTAAAATTATTTCTTGTTTTTAAAGAAAAGAACATTATAAAAAAATTCGACCGTTAATCGTGGCCAAACCATGTTATATGCAATCTCTTTGTAAATAAACTTCCGAAGGAAATGCTTCTATCGAAGCGATAAAATTCAACAATGAAAACGCAAAACGCGAAAACATTGTTGGCGGAGACAAAAACGGTGCGTTTTGAGGCTGCAGGAGCGCACAAGTCTCCCACGGAAGCAAATGAAAGCGATATTAATTTCCAAAGTATTTAAGGGACGGAGCCTAACGAGGACAATTTAGGGTTCCTAAATAAAATTAAAATCGTCTTCTTTTTTTGTGTTTGGAACTTTTTTTTTTCTCATCGTGAAGAAATATATGACAAGTCAATGAAAGCATGCATGTTAAAACGCGTGTCACGTATATGTATGCATGCATGTAACTATGTATGTATGTATGTATGTACGTACGTATTTATTTCAAAATACATTGTATTCACATTTAGAGTTTCATAAAGATATAGTGATTGCAATATACGTATATAACAAAATGTTAATTAAGGTTAAGGAGTATGTATGTATATATATATATATATTTTTATTGGATCGAATTTTTCAGATTTTTGGTAACATTCTTTTTGGTATAAGTACAGAAATATTGGATAATACTGCGAGTTATTTTATTTGTTTAGTATTAGGTGTATTTTTATCGTAATTTCCGGATTTTATTAGAAAATTATTACAAAGAATACCATATATATATATAGCTACCTTATATGTATTTTGACCCATAGACATAAATATCAAAATTACAATTATTGAAATATCGTATAATTTTAATACTCTTCTGCTATGAATGACTTATACGTGCCCAAAATACAGTTCACCTACCATTTCTGAAAGAAAGAAATATGTCAAATTGAATTATCAATTATTTTAGGCTATAAATACTTGATAAATTCCACATTTCTATTTATATATATATTATACCACAGTTCATAAGTATAAATACATATGAAACGACTTTTTAAAATAAGATTGGAAACAAATTATTAAAAAAAATAACATATTTATATATAACTAAATAAACATTTAAAACATGTTTCAAATGTTTTTGGGTGAAAATGAATAAAAAAACGTGGTTCACTATTGAAAACAATGCTCATACGAAGGAGAAGTTTAAATAGGTTTGAACTAACTAATATTCACGCGGTTTTTACAATTTTAATTTTGTATTAAATCTAACGTTGGTCCGTAAGAAATTTTAGAGGTCAATGTTTTTATTATTATTTTAGTTCAACTATTTTTTATTTTGGATATAAAGAATAATACATATTCGATTTTTTAATCATATTTTGATTTGAATTGTTTTAAATTTAGCTAAAATTAGATTTTTATTTTGTGTTTATCTTTTTTAAAAATATATATATTATTCGATTTTTTCTATTTGATTCAATTTATTTTTTAAAAATCACAAATAATTGAAATTGACATTAAATTTGTTTTGAATAAAATTATGAATGGGATTTGATCCAATTGAATTCGATTTTGGATGAATTGAATATAACTGCAGGATAACATTTAGATTTTTTTACTTGTGGTGCAAGTAACTTACAGCCGAGTTTTGTATTCCCATTGTGGCTCGCGCGGCCTGCTGCTGTATCCGTTAGTTCCTCTCCCGCCAAAGTTCGTAAACTGTTACCTGTATCAATATCTTGGCGATAGTCCCGATCCCTGATCCTTGGTCACTACCGGCCCATGGACGAATCCGTTCAGCGCATCGGGGAAGCACGGCTGGAGACGCACTCCGACATCTACTCGGCAACTCCGGATGCAATCCCCGTGATTAATGTAACCCGTCCATTGTCGGTAATCTTTCCTGCCAAATAACAAAGGAATGGCGGGGTACAGCCTCAGAAAACCAGACAATGCCATATCAGGGGACTCGTCGTATCTGATGCCATGTCGCATTTGTGCTAAGTGTCGGTCTGAAATCCTCTTCCTTGCGTCTCCATAGAACTGCGTCGCTTCCTTCATCCGATGTGAACGTGCACCAAAAAATCTCCGGCTAGAGTTGTTGACTGTTGCTGCAACATTTGCTGAGCGAGGCATGCAGAGTAATCGCGCTACTATCTCGCTGACATGATCAATCAGAGGTCCGAATGGTAGCCAGCGACCAAATCAGAGAGAGGTAGACATCACGTTTTCATCTGCATCTTTCATCTTCAACAGCTTCTTTAAATTCCGTGAGGCGAAAGATGAATTGGTGCAAAGTAGACAACCTCCTCAACAAGGTTGTGCATTTAAACCCGTTACTCGTTGTTGGAGAACAAACCGAATCACATATGCAAGGAGACCAACCAACCGAGAGCTACACTCGAGACAAGGATATCTTAACCAACACGCAACCAAGCAAACCTTCAGGAGCAAAGAGAGCCACCGGAGGAGGTTCGCATTTTTTTTTTGATAATTCGAAAGTTTATCAGGTCTTTGGTCCGACTACATATCCCAGACGAACGGAAAAATTCAGGTGAATGCCCCTCCCCACGCTTGGATTTGAACCCAAGATAAAAGCATGCTTTACATATTCTCTCATCACTAGACCACCCAAACTTGGGTGAAGTTCGCATACTTCTAATCAAGATCTCTATACATGACATATCAAGGCATAAATTAATCTGTTTATATGGTAAATATCTTTGATTGTACTTTCCTTTCTTATAGACTAAGAAAGTGTGTATTATGTAAACATGTCTTTGTGAATATTACAAATTGCATCATTAATTAATAACTTAAAAAAAGATTAGTCTGTTTTAAGTGTTGAATAAATTATTGTAGCACATGCACGCTATTTGTTATTTATTAGTTGGGAAAGAAAAAAAACAAATTCATTACTAAATAGAAAAAAAAAGTTATCAAGTTTCATGCATTAGTGGCCTCTTATTGGCCAAGTGGGATTTTACTTGTGTAATATCTATGTCATTATTTTTTTTTTCTGAAACCACATAAATGGAATTTAACATTTGTTATTTTTTTGTTTAATTTAATATGGTATATTAAGAAAATTGAAAGATGTGTATTTGTCTTAAAATTTTAAAAATCAATTTATTTATAAATTTATGCTGTAATTTCGTTGAAATTTACCATTATTTATGCAATTTTTTCGAGATAACAAAACATAAGCAATGTAAATCGAGACTGAGAAGCAATAAGATTCGAACTGTTTGGAATCGAAAATGTTTGAAGTGTTCGTAAAAGGATTGAGTCTCCAACTCTTTGGAGATACATCGAATGTGTTCCATCATATATATATATATATAATTAAATATTTTATTATTTCAAAAAATCAAATTACAAAAAAGTCAAACAGTTAGGTTCGGTTCGGTTCCGTTGGTTTAGAGAAAACGAATTTCGTGGGGTCAGATTTGGATCACGTCTCTCTAATTTTTTTTTTGTATATTCATTTTTAATTAAGAAGTATAAATAAACACCAAATTAAAATATTAATTTTACTCGTCCTTGAATATTTTATATATCCACGACGCGGGAGAGTTATCACGTAGTTCTTCTTTAACTGGTTATTAAAACCACCATTGTACATCACTACCTTTCCTGGAAAGTTGTTTTTCTCTCATTTTCTCGGGAAAATTTTTCTTCTGGTAACGAAGATTTCGATCGAGCAGAGAATTCTTCGGTTTCCGCCGTTTTGCCTTCTATTGCTCAACTACAAAGTGCATTCCGTTTTCTACATTTCCTCTCTGATTTCCCTGTTTGCTTTTCCTGAAATCTTCTCGGTTTCCCGCGTTTTCCCTCGACATTTTCTTTCGAAGATTTGGCTTCAGATGCAAGAAATAAGCTGATCCTCTTTTCTGATCAACTTCGAGATACGAAGTTCTCCATCTCTGTTACTTCTATTTGGGAAATTGCCGTTTCGTTTCCTGGAGAATTTTCCCCAAATCGTTGAAGATAGTGAGATGCAGAGAGTGAGCTTCGAGGTGACGGATTCACCAAGAGGCTACCACTCCGATGCCGATGCGACGACAAACGGAGGAGCCCACCACAGCGGTCCGATGGGCGGGCCATTGCCACCGGCGTTAAAAAAACCGGCGAAGAAGAGCCCTAGATCCGCGGCGGAGAACCACCGCGCTCCGCCGTACGTGGACCTCGCATTGGACGTTGATGAGGACAGGGTGTCCGTACACAGCGTCAGATCCCCCGCCTCCGACGGCGGATCGAGCGTGGAGGATCCGGAGTTGACGCTACTGAGACGGAAGCGCCTGGAGAAGAAGACGTCGGTGGTGCAGCGACTCGCCTCGGTCTCTCACGAGCTCAAGCGGTTGACGTCGGTCTCCGGAGCGAGGAAACCGCCGCGAGCGCCGCCGCGGATTGACCGGACGAAGTCGGCAGCAGCTCACGCCTTAAAGGGCCTTAAGTTCATCAGCAAGAAGGACGGAGGAGCTGGTTGGGCCGCGGTGGAGAGACGGTTCGATCAGATCACGGCCACTACGGATGGGTTGCTGCTTCGGTCTAAATTTGGGGAATGCATAGGTAAAGCCATGAATCGATTACGATCGTAGAAGTTGAATGAATGCGTTCTGTAAATGATTCGAGTAATTCTGAAAATGCAGGCATGAACTCGAAGGATTTTGCCTTGGAGTTGTTCGATGCATTAGCTAGAAGAAGAAGGATAACAGGGGGATTGATTACGAAGGATCAGTTAAAGGAATTCTGGGATCAGATGAATGATCAAAGCTTCGATTCTCGGCTTCAGACATTCTTTGACATGTAAATGTTTCAATTGCTTTACTCTGTTCCTCTTCTGCTTCCTTCTCCGGATCTCCAAATTTCAGTTTATGAACACAATATTGAAGTTGACTAAAGGGTTCATGAAATGCAGGGTGGATAAAGATGCCGATGGAAGACTAACCGAAGACGAAGTTAGAGAGGTGAATCAAGATTTGAGTTTATACTACTATTGGTTATAGTTTTCGATATTTTTAGAAATTTGGTCAGTTGAAGATTTGATTTTTCTCTGATCGGATTCCGTTGTGTTCCTCGTATGCTACACAGATTATCAGCCTCAGTGCCTCCGCGAACAATCTGTCCATTCTCCAGAAGAGGGCAGATGAATATGCTGCCCTGATCATGGAAGAGCTCGACCCGGATAATCTCGGATACATTATGGTAAAAAAAAAAAACTTACCCGCAATTTGCCTACACATACATCTTCTCTTGATTCCGATATCTGAAACTTCATAATCCTAAAACAGCTCGACAGTCTTGAGAGCCTTCTGTTGCAAGCGTCGACAGAATCTGTGATAACGACAGGGGAGAGGAAGAATCTGTCGCAAATGCTGAGCCAGAAGCTGAAGCCAAACCGTCACCGGAACCTGTTTAACCGATGGTACCGTGGCCTGAGATATTCCGTGCTCGACAACTGGAAGAGAGTTTGGGTTCTTGCCCTCTGGCTCACAGTCATGGCCATACTCTTCGCGTACAAGTTCATGCAGTACAAGCGTAGAGCAGTATATGAAGTTCTTGGAGTATGCGTATGCGTGGCCAAAGGTGCAGCCGAAACGCTTAAACTAAACATGGCTCTGATTCTGCTACCTGTTTGCAGAAACACCATAACCTGGCTTAGGAATAAGACCAGGTTCGGTATTGCTGTCCCTTTCGACGACAACCTCAATTTTCACAAGGTACATAGCTAAAAAAACCCCACAATAAATGTAATAATGCCTACTTTCTCTGGTTTTCAGACAATGATTTGTGAAAAAACCAACAGGTAATAGCGGTGGCAGTAACGATCGGGGTTGGAATACACGCGATTTCTCACTTGGCATGCGATTTTCCGAGGCTGTTGCATGCAACTCCAGAGGCATACAGCCCGATGAAACAGTTTTTCGGGAAAGACCAACCAACGAGCTACTGGCATTTCGTGAACTCGGTGGAAGGGGTGACAGGAGTAGTGATGGTGCTCTTGATGGCCATTGCTTTCACATTGGCAACTCCTTGGTTCAGAAGAGGAAAGCTCAATTACCTTCCAGGGCCTCTAAAGAAACTCGCCAGCTTCAACGCCTTTTGGTACTCCCACCATCTTTTCGTCATAGTCTACATCCTTCTCGTGGTCCATGGATACTGCCTCTACCTCTCCAAGAAATGGTACAAGAAAACGGTATAAAAAGAACCTCCCTTCCCATCAAACAGTATCAATGCATATGTAGACAAGCTTAATTAGATCCATGTCTGGATATTCATCTTCTTGTTGTCTTGGGGGGCAGACATGGATGTACTTAGCAGCACCGGTCATGCTCTACGCCTGCGAGAGGATGATACGGGCATTCAGGTCCAGCATCAAGGCAGTCACCATACGAAAGGTAAATTTTAAAATACGTATTTTATACATTCCAAAAAAAGGGGTTCGTATCGCATAGTAAAAATTAAAGATTTTTGAACCATATTACTTGTCACAAAAAAAAAAAAGGTTGCGGTCTACCCCGGAAACGTGCTGGCACTGCACATGTCGAGGCCCGACAACTTCAGATACAAGAGCGGACAATACATGTTTGTGAACTGTGCTGCCGTCTCTCCATTCGAGTGGTACGATCCTATATATTATGATACACAGAACCATTCAAACCCCCATTGTTTTCCGAAACATAATAATAACAAAACCATTGTTTTGTCGGCAGGCATCCGTTTTCCATCACTTCAGCTCCACAGGACGATTACCTCAGCGTCCACATCAAATGTCTCGGCGACTGGACTCGGGCTCTCAAAGGGGTTTTCTCCGAGGTAATCCTTTTTTTTTTTTTTTTATATATATGTCCTATTAAATTTCGTAAAATGAAACCATTTCGAAATTAGCACGTATGAAATTGTTATATGGAGAAGTGCGTAAGTGATGTTATGCGTGGGGATAGTAGGTGTGTAGGCCGCCTCCGGCGGGGGTGAGTGGAATCCTGAGAGCAGACATGATGCACGGTGCAAACAATCCCGAGTAAGTCTTATCCTCTTCCCTTAATATATGGTGGTATTAAGCAATTAATAAATGAAATAACGATAAAAAGGGTGGAAATAATCGTGATTGTGATTGTAGTCCGACTATATCATATACGTGATTTCCACTACATATATATTCTTTTATGTTGGGAAGTGGTGGGTCCGAATCTCCAATCATATGAATTGGTGGGATACAACTAACACTATATCATGATAACGATATATATATAAAAAAAACTCGACTAAATCATACCTAAACCCTTATTTTGTCAAACTAAGGAGAAGATCATGCATGCACGATTTGTCTTTTGGTGAAAAATATATGTTTTATTTTTTTAAAAATGGTTTAGGTGATTTCCTAACAATTATTGTGGATTTTGGCTGGTGGTTGAGTGATATGATTTGTTGTATTTAATTAATTGAAGATGTTTTATTTTGGAATTTTTTTTGGCATGGTTATGGACACATTTAAATTAAGAATTACGCACATGCATGTCTTAATTTACGCACATGCAAGTGGTTCAAACCTCCCCGAAGACTGAAATATACTTTTTTTGTAAGTCAAGACTACACATGGGTTATTATTTTTAATTTCATAATTCATTGGTTTAGATAGTAAAAAATTTATATATAACAAACCAAAAAAATTAAAATTTAATAACATATATAGAGGCATCATTCCATTTATAGTAACCGTCCTAGTCTCTCCCAATGAAATTCAATCACCCACCAAAAATATGTTGAGAGATTGTATATTGTAACATTGGAAATGCATGCGAGATTCATAATGGTGGCATCAATGAATTGAAAGGGATCAATACTCTCTCTCTCTCTCTCTCTTTTTTTTAAAACAGCTTCCCGAAAGTAATGATAGATGGACCGTACGGAGCACCAGCACAAGACTACAAGAAGTACGAGGTGGTCCTACTAGTGGGGCTAGGGATAGGAGCCACCCCAATGATAAGCATCGTCAAGGACATAGTCAACAACATCAAGGCCAAGGAACAAGCAGACCTCAACGGGCTGGAAAGCGGGTCGCATAGCAATGGTCGTGGTAAGAAGGAGAGTTTCAGGACGAGAAGGGCGTACTTCTACTGGGTCACCCGAGAGCAAGGCTCGTTCGACTGGTTCAAGAACATCATGAACGAGGTGGCGGAAAGGGACAACAACAATGTGATAGAGCTGCATAATTACTGCACCAGTGTCTACGAAGAAGGCGATGCTCGTTCTGCTCTCATCGCTATGCTTCAGTCACTGAACCATGCCAAGAACGGTGTGGACATCGTCTCCGGGACGAGGGTTATGTCCCATTTCGCTAAGCCCAATTGGAGGAGCGTCTACAAACGCATCGCCATGGATTACCCTAACACCAAAGTTGGTGAGTTCTCTCTCTCTCTCTTTTTCATCAAAATCATCATCAAGTGGAAAAAGAACAATTTATTTAGATGGAAAGCATGTATTCATATACCTAATAGTATTACATACTAAACCGGTTTGGGAGAATTCAGACAATGAAAGTGGAGAAAATCTATTTGTCTTGTTGTTATTGGTAGATTGAGGCATGTATTTATATATCTAATACAAACTAATTAAAACCGATTTAGGAGAATTCATAAAATAAAAGTGGAAATAAACTCATTTGTTGTTATTAGTTATAGATGGAAACATGCATTTATATATCTAATAAAAAGTAAACCGGATTAGGAGATTTAGAAAATGCAATAGGAGAATTTTGTGTGTGTGTGTGTGTGTTGTTATTACTGATAGATAGAAGCATGTAGTGTATATATCTAATACAAACTAAACCGGTTTTAGGAGAATTCAGGAAATAGAAATTGAGAAAATTCTCTATTGTTGTTATTATATTAATTAGTACTTGGTACTAATTAAACCGGATTGTATTTGTAATAACAATCTTATGGGATATCATGATATATAGTATATGGAAATAATGTTGGTGTATGTGTGTATGTATAGGTGTGTTCTACTGTGGATCGCCGGCATTGACGAAGGAGCTGAGGCATCTAGCTCTAGATTTCACCCACAAGACGAGCACCAAATTCTCTTTCCACAAGGAGAACTTCTAAGGGAAAAGCTTAATAATGTACAAATACCCCTCTTTTTTTTTATTACTGTATCATTAGTCCCTTTCTCTCGCTTTGATTACATATACATTAATGTCTTTTCTACGGAAACATGAGGTGTTATTATTATTTGCATGAGTGGCAGATATAAAATATGTGTTTTCTACGCAAACATAAATATAATGTTAAAAACGAAAAACCTAATAATATATAGAATTTTTGTTTGAATCATTATTATGTACATGGCGACTCTCCTGTTTTAATGAAAACCCCCCAATTATACCTTTGTTTTCTTTAGTACTCTTTTGTTCCTTTGTATTTCTATTTTATCTTCCGCCCCAAACAGATTTTAGTGACATTTAATTTTGTTATAAAAAAAAACGGAATTTAAAAGTTTCTTTTAAATGTTACAATAGAAAATTTTCGGTGTAACTTAACAAAATCATCAAATCATATTTAAAAAAAAATTTATATCAGATGAAACAACTCAATTCGTGTCTTAAAAACAAAAATAGATTAAATATTTTACGAAGAGACATAGAAACTAACATTTTAAAGCGAAAACTTATCATAACAATCTCTCATCAAATTTTACAAAACCCTGCAACATTTTTCCATACCTTCAAAGGGAAAAAAAAACAAAATGAAGTACAAAACCAACCCCACAATTCACGTTGAGATTGTGAATATTCTTGTTTTGTAAATTTTTTTTTATTGATCGTTCTCTACTTGGACTCCAACTCAACAAGTTTCAGTTGTCTCGTCGGGTAGGTCTCCTCCGAGTTTCAGCTCCTCCCTTCTTCTCTTCTTCTTCTTCTTCTTCTTTCTCCTTCTCTTCCGGCTTCTCCTCACTAGCAGATGCCGACGCAGATTCCTGGCTCGTCGTCTCTGCCTTTGCCTGCACAGTTTCATTTCGTCTTAACAACCTTTTCATTTTAGGAAATTGGCACGGGTAACTTTTCGGATTCAGTTATGTTCGAATTCGATTATCTCGGTTGTAGAAAAACTATAACCATTCAGTTTTTATATCGAATTCAATTTGGTTTGGCTAGGGTTTGGTTACAACAAATAAAATATTCCTTTTCTAAAGAAGTTTCCAGTTTTTCCATTACTTTTTCCCACTCGGTTCATATCGGATTTGATTTTTTCGGTTTTAAAAAAATTATAACTTTTCGATTTTATATCGAATTCGGTTATATGTGATTTGGTTCAACATCGGTTCGGTTATCTGGTTATTAATCAAATAAGCTATTAGAGATTGGATGGATGGACTACTCACTGGTTTCTTCCCGCCAAATAGGAGCTTCAAGACAAGCGTGAGGAGCACGACCACGATTCCAACAACTACACCTATGGTTAGGTTCGGTTGTTTCTCCGCCTTCTCGATGAGGTCCTGCGTCATTTAAAGACAATCAAGAACAAGAGCTTCAGATCCAGAGATCATAAGTTCAATAGTTGAAAGGCTTTTTAAGAATGCAGTAGGTGGAGGAGGAAATGTTAGGGAAAAAAAAGGCTTACAAGAATCTTGAGCTTGTAGTCACTGAGGAATGGAATGTCCGCAATCTTGTACAGAAACTCGAACACCTTCTTCTGCAAACGAGTTCCGTTCACAAGACCCATCTTTAGATTACATGTCCAAAGCACAACAAACAAAAAAACACAATGATACAAAAAAGAAAAGAGAAGTTCAGGCAAAGATAACGACGTTACCTGGATGCCCTTGAGATGGCCGTCCTGATCAGCAGAAGCCGCAGCGGCATCTTCCTCTTCCTTCTGTTTTTCTTTCTCAACCTCAAACTTTGGCTTCCATGTCGTCAACCGGATCGACTCTGCAACCTTCTCGTCCTTAGCAATCAAAATATTATCGAACAGCAAACCATCTTGCATTGTCCAGATCTCAATCCCGATAGCCGCTATCGGCTCAAAGTCTGGCTTCTCGAGCTCAAAATAATCGGGGTTGGGAATTTCCCTCGGTTTCCATATACCCTTATAGCTAGGATTGTCGATAAGAGGGGCACTCCATTTGCCCTTGTAAGCAGGGTTCCTCTTCATAGGCCTCTTCCATTCGCCACAACCAGGAGAATCACCACACTTAGGGTTCTCGATCTTCGGGGCTTCCCACTCACCATCCTCCTCATCGTCCCAATCTTCGGGTTTCGTCGCCTCAGGGTCATCGATCTCCTCCGGCTCATCATCCAACCATCCTTCCGGTTTCACTGCTTCCTCATCTTCAATCTCCATAGGCGCGTCTTCGTCCCAATCATCAGGCTTGACAGCATCAGGATCCGGGATTTTCGCCCTCTCATCCCAGTCTTCGGGTTTCTTGTCATCAGGGTCAGAGATTGTCATGGGCGGGATTAGAGGAGGCTCAAAATCTTCGGCTGAAAGAAAGTTCGCCTTCTTCTTCTCTTCCCCATCAACCAGTATTTGGAGCTCATTGTCGGGCTTGATGACCGCCGTGTAAACGTGGGAGAGTTTGTCGAATGGAACAGATGGTGGGAACTTGAGGTGGTGTTCTACATACTCCCCGCTCTTGGGGTTCTTATGCTTCAGAATGAAATGCACCTTGTTTGTGGCACCGCATTTGTCCGGCCCGAACATAATAGAATATGGTGAATCGTTGTCGAAACCCTTAGAGGTCCATCCAGCCTCTTGAGGACGGAGGTACTTGATGTATGCACCGCCGCATTCCAGGCCATTCTGGAAGCGGACATCGTACTGGAGAACGACGGTTCCATCCTTGAGACTCACAGGCTCGTCGAGCTCCTTCACGATACCGTATTTCCTGGCTTTCTCACTCACGAGAAGCCCGTAATCATCGTGCCCCTCGCTCTTTTCATGCTTCCAAACACCTGATACCATAAACAACGTAAGCCAACTCCAATCGGCACGCACAGTGTAAAAAAACCCAAGGTGATATATATATATATCATACACGATGAAGCAGCATCACCATACAGGGAATTCATGAGAAACCAACAATAGCATATGGAACAAAGAATTCCAGAACAGCCTCAAATACTCAATTCGAAACAAAACAATTGCCGATAACACGAGAAAAAGTAAATGTTATCATTTGAAACACTACAAGACGTTTTAGGGAGGCCACAGAATCAACACAATCTCCCTCAAGCTTAGAATAAAGATCAAGCAGTACTCCGCAGCTACCAATAGAACAGTTCCAGAAATTTTGTATCATCTTCTCGCAGATCTCCTACTTCATCGAATTTGATCGAACGCAAATAGCAACAAATCTCAAGACAGACGAACACAAGACAAGAAACGAAAACATCGCAACAGATGAAAGAGTGAGATCTCACTAACCTTGATACTCTTCCTTCTCGGAGACAACCCAACGACCGTCAAACGGCTTGTCAAAAGACTCGTAGAACACCTAAACACACAGATTTAAACAAAACAAGAGCTATAAACAAAAACATAAGAACATGAAATCCGGGAAAAAACAACATCCACAGAGACGAACAAGAAGGAGAAGAAGAAGAAAGCCAGTACCGTGGCATCGCCGTCGCAGAAGCAGAACTGCAACAGAGGAACAAGAGCGCAAAGGAAGAGGAAACATCGAAGAATCACCTTCGCTTCCATCATCTTTCTCGCTGAAGAACCCTAAAGCTTGGGATCCGATCTGAATCTGGATACAGAGGAAAACAGTGATACAAAGAGAGGGAGGTAAAATGAGGGGTTATTTACAATGGTTCCATTACCTTCTAGAACCTTTTTTTCCTTCTAAATTTTAAAATTTTTTTTGGGACTACGTCGACGGCTGTCTTTGTGTTTCAACCAATGATATTGAACTTACACGAAATCTTAACCAATCATTGAATGACACGTCAATAAGCTTACCGCACATAATGAAATATCACCCAAAAAATGGAGTGTAGCTATAAAAAAATCCAATTCAGCTTGACTAGAATTGAAAATAAATAAAATTTCGAATAATCTTTTAAAATTAAGTTCAGAATAATTTATAATTTTATTAATATTGTAATACAGAAACACTATTCTTTTACCATAACACATTTTGTTTTTTCGGTTTCTTTGGTGATAAATTTTCACAGTGAATAAAAACTGGAAAAAATATATAAAAGAGAAAAATAAAATGAAAAATCGTGAACGGCAGGATTCGAACCTGCGCGGGCAAAGCCCACATGATTTCTAGTCATGCCCGATAACCACTCCGGCACGTCCACCTCGTGCTACATCAAATAGTTTTTAACAATCAATCATTTCAAATTACAGAATAAATTTCAAACAAATCATTTTTATATTGGTCGTTGATTGTAAAACTGTCGAAATTCAAACAAGTAGTGAAAAAAAAAATGAAAGATGTTAAAAGTAAACAAAGAAAAAATGAAGAAATAAAAGTAAATAAATAATATAAGATTAGGGGTGGACACTTCGGTTCGAGAATTTAGTACCGACCCGATCCGTCCCGATACCGAACCATACCGAACCGAACCGAATAACGTTTGGTTCTAATTTGGTACATTTTTTATGGAACCGAATGAACCGTTCCCGAACCGAACCATATGAATACCGAACCGAACCGTATGAATATCGAACCAAAATTCGAATATTCCACTAATATATGTGTAAATATTATAGTTCGGTACTTATTTAGTATTCATATAATGGTACCGTTCCGAACCGAACCGATACTAAAACCGAACCGAACCGAACCGTTTAACATTCGGTTCTAGTTTGGTACACTTTTTATAAAACCGAAAATACCGTTTCCGAACCGAACCGCTTGAATACCAAACCGAAATCCGAAACGCCCACCCCTGTATAAGATATTCATTTAGTAAAGTGTTCTTCCAAATTATCAATTTCTTTTTTTTTTAATTTTTATTTTTGTGATAGCTCAATCCAAGTTGAAATGACAATGCAACTCAATCATCTATATTCAAAAAACACAGTGTATGATACGATATTTGACTAGCTATTCATCCCTTTCTTAACTCCAAAGATTTTTTTCATCACCACAATCAAAACGGCGTGCATTGTGTTCGTTCTCACGCAAAACGGCAAGACGTCGTTCCCTATTTCACTCTCTGCATCCCTCACTGCTTCTCCATCAAAACCTCCCTAACTAAGACAGTGAAACACTCCCCACTGTTGCGAACAAAACACAAACTCATCTGACCAGGTATTACACATTACACAACCCGAAACCGAAAACGCAAAGAAGAAACTCACAATTCCATTGTTTGTTCCGACGCAAGAACTCGAATGGCAGCAAACCCGATACCGATAAAACGAGTTAAAAAACCCTGCAACTATCCAAAAAATATGATCCTATGGAGGAATCATATGCAGAAAAACCAAAGCACCAAACAAGAACTTTGCCACTTTGCCATGTCGTTAGGGCAAATGATACCATCCCTAAAGACCTAAAGCAAAATACTATCATCATCCCCTTTCCTATGTAAAGAACTCAAAGGCTACAAAGCCGGAGGAAAACTCGAGACTTCTTCACCTTTTTAACTTAACAACATGAAGTTATGCTCTCACTCAATGAAGAATGAGAGAAATATGTTGTTTCAACAATCTCTGTACCTTCTACTTTCATATGCTCTTTTTTTTTTTTGTTATTCCCCTGTTTTTTTTTCCTTCATCATCATGGATTTTCTCTAAAGATTCTTGTTATTCGAGCTCGAGACTCTTTTTCATTGCTTCGTAAACCAAATACGTAATGCTTGCAGCGGGAACAACCTTGAGAAGATTCGGGATAAGCCCTTTGTAGAACGCTCTATACCCTTCTTCGCGTAATGTCCTCCGAAATACCCCAGACATCGAGGTTGTCTCACGCTCGGCTTGCATCCTGAAACATTTCAGCATATTATGGGTTTCACCAGTAGATAGAAAGAAGATACAACCAATTTCAGTAGATAGAGAGCAAACTCATCTACTGGCATCTAATTGTGTATGTATATATGAGAAGCTAAATGACATATGCCATACACATACCTTGTTCTTACAACCTGCAATGGATAAACACAGGTTGCTCCAAGAGCTCCCGAGATTGTCCCGCACCCTAGTTGGATGAGCGGGCCCGGTTGTTCTAGAAACATGAAAAACGATCCAATCTTGTGAGAGTCAGGGGATAAATGCAAATGAAATTGTATAAATGAAGAAATTACCACTGTCTTGTAGAATGTAAGTCTTGGACAAGTCCTTTAACTTCTCATAAGCGGCAAGGTCGATACCCGCATATGGAATAATCCCGAGAAGAGATGGGAAAAGACCTTTGTAGAACGCTCGAGGGCCTTCGTGAACCCATATTTCCTTAGTCAGAGCTCCTAACCTGGGCCCCGCGCCACCGCCTTGACCCGAGCAAGTCTGCAACCGAGTTTTCACGAGATCCAAAGGGTATATAGCAGCTTGGGCCACTGCCCCGGCCATGCCCCCGGCAAAAAGCCTACCACTAGTTCCAATATCCCCTTTTGCTTCGCCCATTTTATCCCCGATAACGGTTTTAAACAGCTCGTATGCATAAAACTTGATTGCACTCTCCGGTGCCACCTTCACAACGTTCAAGCCATTGCCTCGGAAGAAACCCCAAAATCCATCCTGCTTCCATATCATCCTAATGGCTTCTCGGATATTAGCATCAGTTTTCTGGATTTGCAAAAGGACTTTTAAGCGATCCAGAGGTGCAGTCGCAGTCCTAGAAGCAGCACCGGCTATTCCACCTAAGGGAATTATCGTATTTTAACATGTTTAAGTAGCCGGTATGGATTACATTTTTTGGAAAATAAGCATATTGACTAGGAAGCCAAGAAGACGTACCTGCGATGAAAAATTTGCTCCTCTTTACGTTTTTGCTGATTCCTTCTGGAATAACAGCTTGCTCTCCGATATCCACAAGGCATACTCTTTC